CATCATCCCTGTGAGATAAGTAGGATATATACTAGTCCTACTTTAGCTGATAAATAGATGTATTCAAGAAAAAGATTCAATACATTTTTCAAATTCACAGGGTTAGGTTATGGTGAAACTAAGATCAGAAACCAGATTTGTAGGCCTCTTACTTAATGCTCTTCTCATCATGTCAGGCTGCCTCTATCAAATTCTAGGAGATAGACCACCTTGAGCCAGAGAAGATAGCACTTTTCCTGAGCCATCTGTATTCTCTTATTGTTCCTTGTAGGGATAAGGTTAAAGAGAAAAATAGAAATGATGGCTAGGCAAGAAATAAAGTTTACTTCACCTGAATTATCCATTGTTCTCCTTAAATCCTAGAAGCCCTTCACAGCTGGAGTCAAGTCCCATACCTTCAAGAAAGTCTTCCATAAGCATGCCAGCCTGAACTGGTTGTCAATACCATTCACCTGGGACTTAACAATTTATGATTTCATGCAGCAAGCAGACATTCTGCTATGTGTGTATTTATATGCTAATTGCTGAGGTTAGTGAAGTGGGGTGAGAAATTCCAGAGAAGAATAATACATGGTTGTTGCCCTCAATAAGTTTACAGTCACTTAGGAAAGATAGACACAAAAATAAACAACCATAATAAATTTCAAAAATGTGCCATGCAAGAAAGATAATGAAGACATTCCTGTGGAAGCAGAAATAAAACTTGCATAGAAGGAGATTGGAGTGTGCAACTTGAACATTAAGTCAATTTTCAACAAGGAGTTTTGGGGGTAGGCAGGATGTAGGATAAGAAAGGATGGATGAGGGATCCCAGGGATGAATCAATAACATATAAGAGTCCCAAAGTATAAAAATGAATGCCGTTAGAAAAAGGAATAATAGGAGTTTTATCCCAGCTAGAGAATTGGGTGAGCTGGTGAGGAGGGTGGAATGGGAAGTGAGAGTGAGGGAAAATAGTGAAAGGGAAAAGAGACTATAAAGGTAGATGGGGCCAGATTATGTAAGATTCTGAATGTATTTCATGGAGAATTATTGAAGGATTCTGAGAAAAGACGTGATATTGCCATACTTGGGCTTTAGAAAGATCACTCTGGCAACAATACTAAAGATGGATTGGAAAAGTGGGATGTAAAGAATCCATATCAGTTGAAAGTAAGTAGAGTGATCAATAGTCCAGGTTCACCTGGGATTAAGGGCTTCCTGGAACATAGGATTTTCAGTTGTAAAACTCCGACAGTCGAAAGGAATAGTTGGTCACCATACTGCTGCAACAGTAAAGGCGATAAAAAATAAACTTTGAACTTGGTATGGCAAGATTAGAATTTAAAGTAAAAGCCATATATGGAACTGACAAGCTTTGAAGACTGTCTAAGGAGTCAAAAATAATTTCCTTTATTAAATATGTAAAATGTCATAAAAAGGTATCACAGTTTTGTACTCTTCCAGAACAGCTTCATATGTAGCAGCTAAAAGCATTCACTTCTGACAATCTGAACCAATCTACCTTGTTGTTATTACAGTACTTTCCAAATTTATACTCTCTGTGAAGCTTCATCAATTCCTGACTCTTCAATTCCTGACTCTTCCTGATTCTTTCTCTAACATAATCACTGAGCTTCACTGCAAATTACACCATACTAACTTTTACTATACATCCTCAGAGATCTTAAGTGTGTAAATGTCTCCATTTCTTCTAGTCTCATCTAGCAACCTCCCTTATCTTACTTCCTCCTCTAACCAGCCTAGATTAAGTAGTTGGTCAAATTAGCCACTCTCACACAAGCACCCAGAACTTCTATGTTCCCCATTCTTCTGTTGCATCAGCCTGGTAGGGCCCTAATCCTAGATCAAGTCCACAACCCTTTTTCTCTCTTACTATCCAAATACCTCAATGATCCTATTAAAAACACCAGAGTCTATTTGGAATGGCAGAACTAGAAATTAATGATCTGCAGCCTAAGATTTTTTTTTACTCCGTCCTCTTTTTGCATGCACCTGATTAGTTAGTATCTTTTCCTATTCCCATGGTGGCTATTCAGCACCTTCACAACACTACTAAAGCTTCCTCCTCTCTCCTGCTCTCCTACCTCCCACCTTCCTCAGCAGATGTTCTTCCCTTTTGCCTCAAGAGAAAATTGAGGATATTGGGTAAGATTCAATCAACTTCATCCATTCTCCCTTCCCAGTATGCACAATCTTATTTACAGCTGTACTCCTCTTAATTCCAAGCACAATTGTCTCTCCCATTGGTCAAGATGAATTTCTATACTCCTCTTATCTTTCTCAATATTCTCTTTCATTAATGGTTCCCTTTCACTTGATCTATTTCAGGATCCCTTTCCCCCACTCTTAGATCATCATGCTGTACTCCACTCTCAGCTATATCATTGTCATCTAGTGCCTCCACTCCCAAAATAATTCTTGTCTTGTCTATGAACCTTATTCTGTTAATAGATCTTTTTCACCTTCCTTTTCTTCCTAAATTAAGCTTTTCACAATAGTTGTTCACACCAAATTGTTTTATTTTCCTCACTTTATATCTATTCTTTGATGCACTTCAAGGTGGCATGCATACCCTCAAAACCTCACTTTAGTCCCTAGTTCTGTCATTGTGAACCAACCAAATAGAGATAAGAGCAGAGTTTCTAGTGCCTCCAATATCATCCTTACAGTAGTAAATCCTCTTGGTGCCTCCAGTTTGTTGTACTATGTCCAGGGTACACACTGCCTACCCCAAAGGTCAGGACCATAATAATGAAGACCTTTTCTCTCAGATGAGTCTGTTGACAGGTGCCAAACTCCAGAGGGAAAGACCAGAACAGAGTTATAATCTAATAAGCAGGGCCAAAAAATAGCCACCATCTCTGAGCTAACAAGATGTACTTTAAAGTGTGGCTCTAAGGATATTCCTGATAATGAAATTGGCATAAAGTTATGACTGAGACTTCATCAATGCCTTTCTCCCTGGAGCCCATCTCAGAGGTCAATGCTTTATTCCTCTCTCTAGGTCCCATCTCACCTGTCTTTTCTTTTTACTGGAAAACCCTAGTCGCACTTCCCTCTTTTCCTAACTCCTACTGAATTTATAGACTGTTCTATGAGACTGTCATCTCTCTGAGAGATTATTTATCTTAGACTCCATATCATTCACTTTGCTTGGCAAAGGATTAGGCTTGCAGTGGGGGATCATTTCATATGCATTGGTTTATAAGGTAAGAGTATGGAGAATAAGCACAAATTAGCAGAGCCATAGATAGTTTTACTTCTAAACTGTCCCCCATAAGCTACTTTTCCAAGCAACGGTCATAATCTCTTTCTGCCATTGAGGAAAATGTGGTCAAGGCAAGGATAATAAGATTGCAGTCTAAGAAATCTGGGTACCTGATAGTATCAAAGCCTGTAATCCCAGATTTCTATTTGAAACCCACTAAGAACCCCATAAGCTGAAGTGCTAATTTGATCATTGAACCCTTTATTTTGTAGAAATAACTAAATGTTATCTCAGAACACAAAGGTATGTCAGGTTTTTAAATATGATTCATTGGAGGTGACCCCAAGATCTTGGTAGATACCAATACCATCTACACAAAGACAGCTGCTCTTCCCAACCAACTAATTAAAATTTTGTGGTTTCACAAAGGTACAGCTAAAGTGAGCTTATATTATTATGATATCAGAAGTTATATTAGACTCCTAAGTCCCAGTGAAATACTAAGAAGTTTCCAAGAAGTTTCCATATGCATCCTGTCAGTCACTGGCTAAGTCCTAATCATATGTCACCTATAATTCTTGTAAGAACTCTGAGTTTATTATTATAATACCCTTTTACAGATCAGAAAATGGTATCACAGCAGGATTAAATGACTTTCTCAAAGTCAAACAGTTATTATTATTTCAGTTGTAATAAAGTTCTTCACAAGAAGAGAAAGTTGAAATTCTTACCAGAACAACTAACTTGTTGCATGGACAAAAAGATATTTTTCTTTTTTTATTTCAGCATAATATGGGGGTACAAGTGTTAAGATTACATACATTGCTCTTGCCTTTCCTCCCCCCTCGAGTCAGAGCTTCAAGTGTGTCCATCCCCCTACCCACATTTGAGGGATATGGCAAACAGTGTCGAAGGGAAGGGCATACCTCTAACCCTTGCTAGGGAAAGGCAAAGTTATAAAATCTAACCAAAATGTTAAAAAAAAAAAAAACAGAAAGACATTTTAATGTGGCATTTCTGTGAATAAGACTGTTTCTCAAAGATGAAGAAGCTATTGTTTTTAATTCTAGTTCTAACACTTTTATGCATATGCACTATACATATATGGCAAATTACAACCCACCAGGTGTCAAGGTAGGATTATATCAAAACTAAGGATCTTTATGGAACTTTGCCTATGAACCTACATCATAACAGATCTGTAGATGGAAGTACAGGAACAGTTTCTTTATAACAGGAGTGAGCTGAATGGTACAAGACTTGTAGGATAGGGAAGACTCAAAAACAGTAGAGCATATAGAAAGAATACTGGATTTAAAGCTAAAAGATGTGGATTCTAGTAACTATTCAAATACTAACTCTATGTTGCTCTGATGAGGACTTTCCCTTCTATAAGTTTCATTTTCCTCATTATTAAAATAATAGTTTTAACTAGATGATTTTTAAGTCTCCATTTTAATTTGGCATGTCTTTAAGGGCACTGCCCCTCTCAACCACTGCCCCTAACTAACACCACGAGCACTGCCACTGCTACCACTAATGCAGCCGCCACCACCTTGACCTACATGCTGATTTATACTTTACAAAGCATTATATATATATATATATATATCACTAATCATTATTAAAAATATGTATTGGGAATAATCAGTTCAGGGGATATAACTCCCATTTTACAGATGAGGAAACAGAGGGTCAAAAAAAAAAACAAAAACAAAAACGTAATTTCCTGAAATAAAAATGTGTGTGTGTGTGTGTGTGTGTGTGTGTGTGTATTGATCTCATTTACCTGAAGATGTAAATTTAGCAAGTCACGAGGGTAGAACTTGAGCTCTGGGATTAAGGTGACTGTTCTTTCCCTGGTACCAATTCTACAAATCTTCTTTCTCAATTTTCCCTGTCTTTTCACTTCTCATCATTTAGTTACTAGCACCACTAAGTGAATATGCCTATCAAATTTACTTATTCTATTTTCTTTGAAGATAGGGCCAGCCAGTGGGCCTGTCATCCTGAGAAGAGAAGGAGAAATTTAACAGAGAAAGAAGGTTGCTGAAAGGGGCTCCTCCCACACTCTAGGGGACAACTTTTACAAGCCATCTGGGAACTTAACTTGCTTTGCCTCAGCTTGTCTTTTTCTTCTTTTTTTAACTCCTAAAGTCCCACATGAATTGCCCAAGCCAATCTGATCTTCACAACCAGGGTGTTCTTCATTCAGGCACTTACAACCAGAGCAAGAGTAGCAGTTAGAAATGGAAACTCTACTATTTCCTGAATAAATTCAAATCGATTCCAAATAACCCTGTTTGACATCAGAAACACAGAGATGTTGACGTATTCTGCAAGTCTAGACATTTTTTTCTGTTAATTAGAGAAAATGAAAATTATTTTTACATTTAAAATGAATTAAAGCAATTAGGCTATTCACAAACTAACATCTTAACATTTGAATTTGAAGTTCCATGCATAAATATTAGTTGGACTTTAATCCTTTAGGAAGAAGATCTAATAAGATATCATTCATTTTTGCCATTAGAGCAGCATTTTATAGGTGGATAGAATCATGCTTTTTGGACAGACCTCAAATCATATCATGACTCTGTTATTGGCCCTCTAGCCTGAAACAATTCATTTTATATTGCTGTTTTTCAGTTTCCTCATTTGTAAAATTCGAATCTTAGTTCCTGCCACATAGATTGTTGTGAATATTAAATGGAAATGTACGTGAAGGCCCCTATTTTCATGTCTGGTACACAGAAACTATTGAATAAATGAGAGTTTATTTCCTCTCTACTTATACACAGTGTTATCTCTCAGGGCCTTTAGTAGGATCCTCTACTTTTCTGGGTTTAGAAAATCCCCTAAAAATCATAGTTGTTAGAGATGACTAGAAGAACTAGAACAGTAATTCTTAAAGAGGAAAGGTGGAAAGTGTTACTTGAAAACAAACAAAAAATATTTTAATAATATATTTGGAAAACAAAATTTGTGTTCCTATAATACAAACTTCTAAGGTACAGATGTACAAAGTCTTCTTGGCTGCTGGGCACTTTGTGCTTGGAAAATCTCAATGTAGTGGAGTAGGTTTTTCTGTAAGTCCAGAGTCTAGTTCCTAAGAAGGTAAGTCCACAATAACCTTGTAGAAAAATTTTTATGTTTCTCACAAAGAACTTTGGTTTTAAAAGATTGAGACCTGATGATTGAGCATCATTGTCATTGTGAAAATCAAATTTCAGAATATTTTCTTTTTTCGTTGTTTCTTTTTATCATTAAAAAAAGGGAAATTACTTACAAAACACTTGCCTGCGGTCTAAAAGTTAGAGTTCTTATGAAAAAATTATCTGAAAGGAATATATTGACCACTGGGAAAAGGTACTGGGTTCTCCTGGAGATCTGAACTGTATTTCCAGAAGATCCTCTCTAGTTAAATTTCCCTATTATGACCCCATTATTCACAACTTCATGACATGTAACTCTTCTTAGGTACCTAGCATCCTAAAATCAAATCACTGTATTGTTAGGAAGGACGCTAGAGGCCATCTATTCCAAACCCTCCCCCATTACTGTTGAGAGCCATAGAAATAAAACAACTTGCCCAAGAACACACAATGAGTCATTGGCAGAACTTGAACTATAACCCAGACTTCTGGACTCTTTGTATATTCCTCTATCTACTTCATAACTCTCCGTGTGATGCATGTGAATCAATAAAACTTCCATGCAAAATATACTGATCTGGATAGTAAGCCTTTTGGCCAAAAGTTTTAAAATAAAGCATAGAACTCCTGCTAGCCATTTCCCTGATTGTTGGAAGGGCTGCTTTCACAACAAACAGCTCTATTCTCTTTGCTAGAGCCGTTAGAGAGGGCTATAGATAGCCTAATCTGCCTTGTAAGACCCTAATTTACTTATCTCAATCCCAAACCACCCAGAAATATGCTCATTTATTTGGTGTCTTATGCTTTCCTACTGCTAGAATTTGAGTAGTCTGCACAACTTGAACTCAACAACTTTATCAGTTGGGGCCAAAAAGGAACTACATTTGACCAAAAACTGACCTGTGTTCAACAGGAACCATTGCAAAAACAATTTCCCCAAATGTATGACCTGATTATCAGTATAGTTTAAGCCATTTTCCACCTTAGTATACCTGCATATCACCTACTTTCATCAGTGACTAATTTTACTGTGTTGCAATTGCTAAGAGACAAACTGTCCAGTTAATAAAAATGGTAATGACACCCCCCATCATTTGAACAGGCAAAATAAAAATATCTTCCCTTGCAGGATTCTTGGAACTGAGCTTACTTTTCCCCAGAAACCTATTATCATTCTCTCTAGACTGATCCTGGTACCAACTGACTTGGCACAGTCCCCGTTAGGGAGTCCCCAATTGGAAGTCTCCTTTTGACTTAGTCATCTTAGCTCAGAGCTAGAGAGGTGCTAGCACTCAGAGTAATAACAATAATCACTGAAAAGATACATGCCTCACGTTTGGGGCCTGCTATTCAGTAGAGCTGAACTTGAGTCAAAAATTAGTTTTCAGAGGATTAATGAACTCCTCTGAACAGACTCTGAAATCATCTAGGATATTTTCTTCTTTCCTAATCTAAAAACCAACAGAATCACAAATATATTTACAGCTATCCTCTGGGACAGGCAGTCTGCTGTAGGGGAAAGGGAACGTGAGTTAGAAGACACAGGTCGAGTTCCAGCTCCACCACTAACTAGCTGGATGACCCTAAATGTCTTCATTTTACTGGCTCTCAGTTTCCCCATCTGTATTATGAGGGATTTGGATCCCTAAGGGCCCTTTCAGCTCCAAAATCTATGATATGATTTTCTTTCCTTCTCTCCTGGAAAAACTTACTATTTGTCTCATTATCTTTGAAAGCTAAATTTACCAAAGCAGGATCTTATACCTAAAAATCTTTCTTTATTATGCAACTAGACAAACTATACAGAACAAAAATTCAAATTGTCTTTTACTGGCTAAATATATCAGAACATACTCTTTTCTTACCACTTTGTGCCATCCTTCCCAATCCCACTTTACAAAAAGCCCTCATGAAAGAGTAAGCTTCATCACAGACTCCATGCTCCTGGCATAGTGGTAGAGACTGATGGCATTAACACTAATTTTGGACTCTAGTCAGACTCCTTTTGTAAGAAATCTGAGATGAGAAACTGGGGACCATTTCAATTTAAACACTGGCCCCACATCTGCCTCTCTCCGGATCTTCATCCTCCCACTCATCCTCCCACATTGAACCACCAAATCCCAGGTGCTAGGTGGTAACTTACTGTTGAGCTCAGCCAGGACAAGCACTCTTGTTTCTTTGCAGGGAGCTAGGAGTAAAAAGTCTAACTCTGGCAGCACGGATCCTGTTGATAACTGGCACATTTGTTGTTGAAAGAGGAAGTTGAGTGCATCTGGTGTCTCACCACAGAAACCTTATTTGCACAAACCAAAGGTAAGTCCCTTTAGCAGATGACGCCAGTCAAGTTTTATTTTTACTTTATTGGTGCAGAGAAATTCAAAGAGCAGGGAGTTAAAGGCTATGCACAAACAGTGACTACATAGCAGCCTTCCTCACTGTTCCCCACCCTATCTCCTTCCACTACAGTCCACATACATATCTGTCTCACTAGATTCCAGTAGGTTTCATGGCAATATGGGATTTTCTGGCAAAATCTGAAGAATGTTCCCCTAGGAATAAGAAAGCTGCAGTTCCTTCAAAGCCTGAGGTGCAAAGGCTAAGGAAACTTCAAGAATGAGTCAAAATTAGCAATAGCAGGACTACCTTTGCTTAAGCTATTCCCTTTATCTGGAGGAACAGCTTCTCCCTTCTCTTAACCCCTTCACCTTCAGTACATATTTTAATTTGTAGTTTAATTACTTTATCATGTATTATCCCCTTACCATACTGCAGATTTCTTGAGGGAAAAGACCATGTCTGACTCATCTCTGTATTCCCAATTTGTCCAGCACAAGGCACTTTCATGAATGGTTATTGAATGAGTAAGTGAAGGAATTAATGCATAAATAATTGTTCAAATAATGCATGAGTAAATAAGTTAACAGTACCGATTACAGTGTCTCCTGGCAGTGTACTAAGATTCTGGTCTTTCTATCCAATGTTTATGGGGCCTTCACAAGTATGCAAATGAAGAACATACACTTGAGGATTACAGTGTCAACCAAGTCTGAGAGTACTTCCAAGAAGCAAGGCTTACAAAGCAGCACAAATCTCCATGAGCATCTAAGGCAACTACATTCAGAACCCAGGGCCTGGAGCTGCAAAGAGCCATCTGGGTAATAACTGTAGCAAAGAAAAAAGTAAATTACTGTGAGTCAGGTCAAAGGGCAAAATTTCAGTTCACGGATAAGACTGATTTAAGAAGGGAATGGTAACAACATTCTTGTGGGAGGGCAACCTGGATCTTCAACAAGCTCTCCTTATAAAACTAGAACCATTTTAGAACTAGGTGGAGCCACACCCCAATATTCAGAGATGTCCAGTACAAATTATAAGGGCATCAATAGATACAAAAGAGAAGCTTTCAGCATTGAAAACTGAAAGCTTGGGTTGATGGATGAAAAGGCCATGACTTGTGAAGACTACCAAAGGAGAGGGTGCTCATCCTCGCTTCATATATGTCAAATGAAACAAGTTTGACCTTGCAGTGCCCTTCCTAATTCTGATTTCATATATTTATTCAGCTTCAATCTGTTATTAATTTAGTTTTCTGACTTGGCATTCTTACTGAAAAGAGAATACATCGACTAGCCAACACACATCTCAGTCCATTTGGCAGTTCTGTTTCTCACTATAAATTGCTAGATTGACTTTCTGGTACAAATCTGTCCCTTATGAGTTTGGGCGGTGTCAGCCAGTATTCCTAAGGCCTGATTGTTCTGTAGTACAAAGAAAGTTCCAGACCTATTGAGCTTTGAAGCCAAATTCTGGGATAGAGGAAGAAGAGGAACTCTTTCCTGGCAATTAGTTATTGTCCCACCTTTATTTTACAGACCATATCTTAAAATTACTAGAAGAAATCCTGCCAGTTTACCTCATTTCTCTATTGTGTGCAAGTATGCTCTCCTGTCATTGGCCCTAAAAAGGGAAGAAGAAGAAAATCAGAAGTCAGTGTCCCAATTCAAAGAGAAATTTAAACTCAAGTTAATTTTGAGCGTTAATTAAGAAAGCAAGTCTGTGGACAAGCCAAACAAGCTGATAATTTAACAATCACCTCCAATTACTTTTAGAAGAGAGCTCTTCTAGTTATTAGGTATGACTGATGGTCTAGGAATCATTATCACCTCAAACTAAGCAATAAATACCCTAGTCATAAGAGTAAAAAGTAATGCAGCTTTCCCACTTTGCCCATAATTTAAATTCTTCCCGTCTTTCTATTTATCCCCTCAAAGTTTACTCTAACTGATGGATTATATTAACATCTTTCCTAGGCTGGGGAAAGTTTATGATTTGTTGCTTCAAAGGCTTTATTTCTCTCTAACAGTAGCAGTATGTGAGGAGTGATAGCTATTGTTGAGGACATTTTTCATTACCATATATTGTGTTTTCTAGAAGAACCCAAGAGTTCTATCTGATCTTAGTATCTGGAAAAACTATATTTTTTCACAAACAACTGGTCATATTTGTTTCTTATTGATAATGATTTTGTAACTAGTCATCTGTCTCTTTTTAAATAGTCTGCTGAAAAACCTGGAGCCAATTTAGTGTCTACTAGTAGCAAGTATGGAGATCTTTTTATGGTATGCTTTTTTAGGTTAGCCTCTATCATGGTTCAGTTTTTATGTTCTTGCCCACTTTTTTTATTATTTTACCCCCACTTTTAATTTATATTATTTTGCTATATAATGGATCATTTTAAGCCATCTTTAACCCTTTCTGGAACATTAGTAGAGTCCAAAAGTAAAAAGAAAAAAAAAAAGGACAGAGTGAACTGTGATCTCAATTCTTTTTCAAATAAATTATTTTATATAAACTGTCTTCAAGAGTTCTCCATGTCTGATTATATATCCACAGAGTATTTCTGTGCATTTTTGGAATTAATCATTTAACAAATACTTAATGAACTACAAAAAGGATCTATGTCTTTGATGCTGAGTAGGAGAGATGGGATTCAGAAGAATAAAATGTTTCCTATCTTCCAAGAGTCTACAGTTTAATTGATAAGTTAAGCACTCATAAAAGAGTTATAAAATATGGCATAGTGTATTATTTATTATTAAATTATGTGGAAGTTAAGACGATGAATTTACTAGGGGCTAAACCTGTTTCAAAGGTTTGCTGGTCTTTATTCAACAGGCAAGTTTTGGATTAAGCAGTGTTTTTACAATGAATGGACCGTGTCCTGCTGGAGGAATATAAAAGCTTTTGCATTTTAGGTGGTACAAGGGATAGCTTTTTAGAAAAGTTTAAAGTTATGTATTTGTTTTAAAGCTTAGCAAATTAAAGCTTTAAATATAATAAATTAAATCTATGAATTTACCAATTAAATCTATGAATTTATTGAAATTATTGCTTAAGAGAAGGCTAAAATAGGTAGCTAAGTTTCAAAAACTGTGATTATTTAAAAATATACATGCACAAAAAAACCCACAAAAGTATACAGGACAAGAAAACAGCAAAAACTGTGAAGGAACATTTGAATGTCTAAAGTTTGAAAAATTTAAAGATAGTGAAGAAGGCAAAGGATTCTAGGCGAGAGAAAGAAGATTGCCAAGGACATGAATTGAGAATAAATATGACTGTTTATGTGATAGGGAAGACAAAATTTTGTCTGATACATAAGGCACATTAGTAAACAGTGGAAAAGAAGCTTGGAGGTGGAACCCTATAAAGAAGGTCTTAGAGTATAGAAGCCATTGACTGCAGGAGGTTATTAAATGGATTTAAACATAGCTGGAAAAGGAAAATGAAAACTGTTATTTATGACAGTACTTCCTATGTACTGTCACCATTCTAGGCAATTTACACACATCACCTCATTCAATCCTCCAAACAATCCTATGGAGTAGGTAAAACATTAATTATAACCCATGATACTCACTAGTGAATTGAAGCACAGAGAGGATAATTAACTTTCTTAAGATTATACAACAAATAAATGGGAGAGGCAAGGTTCAAACCCACATATGTCTGGTTCTGGAAGCCATACTCTTTCTGTTATATCCTGAAAGATCACTGTGATAACAGTGCACAAGATGGATGGCAGAAGGAGGCAAAATAGGAGGTAAAGATCCCTTTTAGAAGATATACCAGTAATTTAAGTTTGAGATAATCGGAGCATGGATTAGGACAATGACAGTAAGAATGAAGATAGAGGGCAATTTCAAAAGAATTATTTTTCTCAAAAAAGCCCTTAAAACTGTAATCAGTAAAATGAAAGAGGAAATGAATCTTCACAAGTAGGAATAAATCAGTCTTTGAAGGGGTTCATTTTTTGCATATTTTCCATTAAAACTTTGTTCAGCCATATACTGAAGCATCTTCCTCCAGTGAGAAAAACATACTTTGTAGCTGGAAGAGGTTCATTCTTCTGAACCCCAGAGGCTTATTTTAGAGATATCTAGCAACAGATGGCCACTTATTGAGGCCCCTGTGAGGAATCTCCTAAAAAGGAAGATGATTGATCTAACATGATATACATTTTTGAAGAATTGTATTTCAGAGTATTCCCATAAGAAGAGGTTTTATTAAGCTAAATAACTGACCATTTGGGTCTACATGTTGTGAATTAACCAAAATGATAAGATTTCACCAAATTCTGGGTGATCTTTCTGGTTTCTATTTAGCCAAAGCCATAAATAATGATCAAGAGGCCAAGAGATAAGGCCAAGAAAGATATACCTTGCCTCAATTTTGTATTTCAGGAATTTTTAAATTAGACTTACTAACTTCAAACATGTCACCAGGCTTGATCATTGGGAAAATGGTAAAATAGGGGGAGACTGTATTTGCACCACACCTTCCCTTATTAGCCTTTTTCTTCAGCTTTCTCCCCAAGGATATGATGCTTTTCCAAATCTTCTGGGTTCTTGTTGTTACAAAATAATGTGATCTAAATAGATCTTGCATACTAAAATATGAAGGATATTTAGGAAGAGGGCACTGCAAACAAAAGAGACTGGATCGCACATGTTTGTAATTACAAATACTGACAAGCAACAGAAGATTCCTCAAATCAGCATTCCTCAAATCAGTAAGATTTTTGGTCTCACACCGCTTTACACTATTTAAAATTATTTAGGATCCCAAAGAACTTTCATTTGTGTGAGTTATCTATTGGTATTTACCATATTAGACATCAAAACTGACGTTTTTTAAAAAAATACTTTTTCAATAATTCATTATGATACATTTATTATGTTAAAAAACACATTTTATAAAATATAACAAATTTATAAAAGTAGTAACAATAGTAACAT